GGGGGGGGGTGGATGTGTGGCTCTGAGCATCCCTCAGTGGCAGCAGGTCGAAAAGGGGGGGAGGGGGCCCTTATAGGAATGCATGGCCCTTTCAGTTCCCCCACCTCCTTTTTTTTAGCCCTTTTTTCTCCCTTTCCTCCCCCCGTGGAGATTAGGTGTCACTGCTCCTGTGTGCGTCGTGTTCGAACCCTGCTGTAAAAACTAAAAAAAAAATAAATTAAAAAAAGGAGTGAAGAAGTTGCTTTGTTTGTTGGGATGACCTCTGAGACGAACCGACCAGAACAGAAAAATGCTTCAGGTGGGGAAAAAAAAACAACATATATTTAATCAAAAGTTTTAATCTTCAGTTTTTAAAAACTCCTGTTTCTTTTTTTAAAGTTTGCGTGGATTTATGAAGCAGTTTGAGAGATTTCTTTGTCAAAGCGAGTCTTTAAAAATAAAGCAGAAGAAGACGTGAGCCACTTGACTGTGTGAAATCCTCTCTGAGTGAAGAACGTGACTTGTTTGGGCTCGCTCGCAATACTGGCTGGGAAATCCTGGAATGTGTGGAATGGGGGACGGTGGTGCTTCTGCAGAGTTATCTGACTGCACAGAGCAGCAGTGGAGCCCAACATGTCAGTGTGTGTTTGTGTGTGTGTGTGTGTGTGTGTGTGTGTGTGCAGCTTTGAGTGTGAATCTGTGAATACAAGCTGATTGCACTTTATTAATTAAAAAGCCAAATCTCATCAAAGAAGTGTTTTTGCTGCAGCTCATGTTCAGAAATGATTTGGACTCCCCTCAAATGATTTCCTTTAAATAAACAAATCAAAACCTCAGATTTTGTTTTTTAAAAATGTCATTTTTTAATGAATATTTCAAGTTTTAATTGTTAAATGCACTTTGTGTGTGTGGTTTTTTTTTTTTTTTTACTGCTGTGGTTTGAATAAAAGTGAAATAAATCTGATTTGTTTTGTTGGTATTTTCTTCTAAAACTGTGCTTTAAAATGAACATTTTGTGTCCATTTTAGCTTTAAATCATTGCTCCAAACCTGATTAATTTAAAGCAGAATCCAAAGTAAGAACAAGCTGTTTGTTTGCATTTGAAGAGGTCTTTAATGCATTGTTGTTTCAAAGATGAAATCAATAGTGTGGAAACAAGTTTTGCATTTTTAATGTGAGCAACTACCACTCTTTTAAAATCAATTTAACATATATTTATAAACTCTTGCAGCAGGTAGAATTGTGTTGTTGTTCTTAAAACTTGTTAAACCTTTAGGAAACTTACATTAACAACAGGGAAATGATGTAAATATCTAATTGTTTTAAATGTTTTCCAACATCAGTAAAAAAAAAAAAAAAGCAAAGATCAAATATTTTATTTCATGTGATGTGTTTTGTTAAGGCATTGGAGGAAAAAAATGAATTTTTGGTTGTATGAAAGTAGTAAATTACATTTAACCAACCATCATCCGGGCTGCATAAATTAGAGGAAATAAAGCACAAAATGAATTAAATAAAATTCCACTTCCTGGTTTGATGAGAGTGTAATTTTTCAAGCAAACTAAAATACAAATTAGTTTTTCTTTTCCATGTTTTTCAGCTCATGTTTAAAATTTGAGGCCTTCAAAATAAAACTGAAAAAGTTCCTTGATACTGTTGCCTTTTCACTCTGATTAATTAAAGGTTGGTTGAGAGAAACAAAAGTCCAGAATCTGATCCTTTGATGCTCCCGAGGCTCAGAAGTCGTCTCACTGAAGGGAAAGCTGTGTCTCTGTGTGTTTCTGCTCCATAGTCTCACCTAAAGGGAGACAGATTGTCTCGGTAAGAAAAAGCTTTGCAGCTCTGCCAGGCAGCAAATTGCCTTTATTTATATCTTCACCTTGCTCTCTCTGTTTCAGCAGGTTTTGGGGGCTTCTGAAGCACTGTTTACTGCGCTCAGGAGTGAGAGCTGGGCTTGTTTTCAGACTAAACATTCCCAGCGTGGCTGTGACATTTGAAATGTAAAACTTAACCCCTGGATCTGTTTTCTGCGCCTCACGCAGACGGGCAGCAGTCTGCTTGGTTGGGCTCATCGTGTCTGTCTTTAAGGGGTTTAAAAAATAATTTATCTCAGTTAAAGGCGAAAGCAGTGAAGCCCTCTGTTCCTAATATGTTGATCTGTGCATAAATGCTGAAATAACTTCACTTCTGTTCTGATCTTGTCACATCTTTGAAATAAAACGTGCAGGTTAAACTCCAAAACATGCAGCTCAGTTTGGAGTAGTGTGCTGTAGAGGCATGTTGCAAAATGAAGTCAAAACAAGAGATTTTACATTTCCTGTGATAATGCAGTTTAAGTGCTGGAAAAATGCTGAAACTAGCATAAAAATAGCTTTAAAAATGTGTCTGGAATTATCACAAAGAAACAGAAAGAGCGTGTTTGCTGAATAAGAAGCTGAAATTGTTACAAAAAGGTAGATTTAGCTGAAAAAAGCTTGAATTAGCTAAAACACAAATTAGTTTTTCTTTTCCATGTTTTTCAGCTCATTTAAAATTTGAGGCCTTCAAAATAAAACTGAAAAAGTTCCTTGATACTGTTGCTTTTCACTCCGATTAAACACATAAAACGGTTGAAATTAGCAGAAAGCAGCTGAAAAAAGGTCGAATTAGCAGAAGAATAGCTAGATAAAATCAGCAAAATAGAAGCCGAAGGAAGCTAAAATAAGTGCAAAAGTTTTAAAAAAAGCTAAACTTGTTTATAGGATGTTGAAAATTCAGTTTCAATGAGAAAAACATGGCAGAAAATCTAAATATATCAAAAAGTGTAAATTTCTAAAGCACTAAAAGTCATAGCTGAGATGTGCTAAACGTTTTGATGTTTAAATTGTTGAAATAGCACAAAAATTATAAAACGAGATACGTGCCAACAGAAAAACTGATCTCAATGCTTAATAGTTTACTTTAATAATGCTTTAACAATTGTCTGAATGTTTAAAAAGCATTCACACAAATTAGGAACAGATAAAACAAAGCAGTTTGGTGGTGAAACACATATAACTCAGCCCTCTAGCAGCTCTATAGCTCAGACACACATCGCAGTAAAAACACCATTTCACAGTTTAAATGGGTCAGTTTGATCTGACACCTTTGGAAGGTTTTATACAAACGTAGTTTAAGTTTTATGTATTTGGAAATCTTAACTATAGATGTTCAATAAAGCGAGCGATGATCTCACAGCTCTAACCTTTCTCATTTTTACAATATTTCTACATATTTTACAGTTTACACATCATAATGTTGGCCTTTTATTCAGCCATGACTGTCTCTCACTGCTGGATGACTTCCTCTTAAACCGTCTGAAAAAACACAGTTCAATTGTATCTCGTTTTATTTGAGTTCAGAATTTGTCTTTACAATTAAGAGAAAGGTCTTGTTAACTTTAAAACATATCAGGGAGTGAGAGACATGGCGTGTGGTTACCAGAGTCAGCAGCTTTAATATTTAACATTTGCTATGGTTTAAATAATGTTTGTCTCATTCTCTCATTCAGATGATAAAATAAAAGCTTACATATATGAAATAATCTCTTTTTTTGGTGTTTGATCAAACATGATGCTGATTTTTGAGCTGTCTGGTAGCAGAGAAGTGATCTGACGACAGATATTAACGTTTAGGAGAGATGAAACAAATCCGGATTTGTGCAGGCAGGAAAATAAAACAGGACAAAACGAGCAGAATGATCCGGCAGCAACAGATCCAGGTGAGCAGCAGACAATGGTGACGGAAATCCAGACGGACCAAAATAGCCTCTGATACAAGAACTGACATCTTCTGGGGAAACGTGCACGTGTGAGTGTGTTTACAACAAAGAGGCGCTGTTAAATGAAGGGGAGGGAGGTGTGTGTGTGTGTGGTGGGGGGTTTCTGGTGATATTTGGGGGCAATTTTAAGACAAAATGCCTACCTTTGGGGACAACTGGTGCATTTGGGGACAAAGTTGAGTCCCCATTTGGTTTAAATGCCATTGGTGGGTTGGGGGTTGGGTTTAGGACCAAGGTGCGAATTGAGTTTAGGTTAGTTTTAGGGTCAGGTAGGTACCTGTGAGGTTAGCCTTAGGGTTTGTGGGTTAGGCTGTAGAAATGTAATGCAAGTCAATGGAATGTCCCCAACTGGATAGCTGTGCAAGCATGTGTGTGTGTGTGTGGAGGGGGTGTGGGGGTGGGGTACCTCTGGTGTTTACATTTAAAGACTGAAACAAAACCCTTTCGGCAGCTAAAATGTCTCGTCATCTTACTGTTCAGCAGGAAGCTGCTTCCTGTCAGGAGCTGAAATGTGTGGCAGAGATGAAGGCATTAACGCGTGAGCTGTGCAATCAGGGTGATTTCCTCCTGCAGAGAGTGAAATAAAAAGCACAAACAAGCAGCGCCTGCATGATGTGTGTGTGAAAGAAGACTGGATCATTTCCTGAGAGGGAGAAAAAAAACCTCTCGTACATAATCACACATGAGCTCTGACATCATACCATAAGGAAAAGGGTGTGTGTGTTTGTGTGTGTTAACTCTCATAAAAGCAGTAGAGTGTAAACCAAAGAGTGTACCACAGGACCACACAGGACTGTGTTTCTGTGTGTGTGCCACCCTAATCTCACACCTCATTATATCAGTACTTTTGTTGATTAATTCACTCAGGGTTGCTCATACAAACACTGTGACTTCAGTAAAGTAAGATGAGTTAATTGGGGCACATGCAGAAACATGCAGCAGCTGAAGCCGTCAGATTCGAGATAAGAGGCTGGATTTACTGCTGCAGGTTTTCAGGCTGCCTGGCGGGACAAAGACTGCTCCTACTCGAGCATAAAGGTGAGTGTGTTTACAATAAATATAAAGATAAACTTTAACCTCTGAGAAAATGATCCTCAAGTCTGCTGCCGAGGGGATTAAAGGCCACCTAGTGGACAGATGATGTATTGCAACAGGAAATGGTCAATAAAAATTACCCAGACAACCCAAATTTAGCTAAATATCTGTAAAACTGACTGAGTTATGAGTTTTTAAGTGTTTGTTGATTAGCTGTGGTGGCCATCTTGGATTGGTTTGACCCTAAAAGTTGATTAAAAGGCGTCAGGGCTGGCCTCTATAGGGCAGTATAGGTAAAAGCTGAGGGTGCTGTCCATATAGGGGGCGCCACAAATATTAGATGTAAAAACAAAGAAGTTATAATTTTTATCAGTGTATAGTTGATTTAGTCTGTAGAATAATAACTGGTTACTCAGGTTTGGTAAGTTGTTCTGTGGGTTTCTCAGCCTGCTTATGGTGGTGCAGAGGACATTTCATGTTAAAAGTATGATGCAGTCAAGACCAACTACTGGTGCTCAGTGTGTAAATAGAAAACAAAATAAGGATAATGGAAGTTTCAGTTCTGATCTCAGATAAAGTTCAGATTAAAGTCTGATTTTCAGTGTTCTACCTTTATTAAATACAGATTTTTTTATGAACCCTAAGAATTTAGTAAAAAGCTCTTTAAATGACTGGAAAATGCAAAGTTTTGAGTGGATCTCTTACAAAATTTTCTGGAGGCATATACCCCTGGACACCCCCCTTCACTCATTAACATGATGTTCCTCGTTGCTGTCAGCAGATGTCGGCAGTTATGAGGTAGACTTCTGGCATTCTGCTTCAAATGAATTATATTGTTAACTGATTTAAATTCCTGATTTATAAAGATAAAAAATCATATCAAAGACAAACTTATTTAGTTTAGTAAACTGGCAGTGATATTTAGAGAATCACACAACCTAAACTCTAGCCCAGGGCACCACCTTGGCTAGGGCTGGCCCTGGTCGTTCATGACAGGTTTTGCTAACACAGCAGACAAACACGAGCCTTCAGAAAAAAAATTATAAATTACTTTATTTACAACAACATTATAAAGATTTTTTACTTTTGTTTATTGCATCAGGAAAATTGAAGTGAGTTCTTTCAGAGACAGTACTATTACAAATGTTTTTACACAAAAATAAATAAGTTTTTGATTAAAGTTGTACATGTGACAGATAAATACTTCAAACAAGTTGAGCTAAAAGAAATAAAAAAAGGAAAAAATTGTATAGGTCTTCTGGACGGGTTCAAACGTTTCGTCTCTCCTCCAACAGACTTCTTCAGTCTGAGAGTTTCAGGCAAAATTCAGGCTTTTAAGCACTGCCTCCATGTGACTGATACTCACATCACATGGCTATCGTTGACACCTAATTAACACCTATTGTTAACAGGGCATGGAGTGACACTGGCAATAGCAGCGCTGTAGGAGGGGGACAACTGAAAACGGAGGCCTCCACCTCTGTTTAAAGATGGACGGTCTTTCTTCACAAAAATGGCTGATGGAGAAAGAGAATAAAGGAAGCCATTTTTGTGAAGAAAGACCGTCCATCATTAAACAGAGGTGGAGGCCTCCGTTTTCAGTTGTCCCCCTCCTACAGTGCTGCTATTGCCAGTATCACTCCATCCCCTGTTAACAATAGGTGTTAATTAGGTGTCAACGATAGCCATGTGATGTGAGTATCAGTCACATGGAGGCAGMGCTTAAAAGCCTGAATTTTGCCTGAAACTCTCAGACTGAAGAAGTCTCTTGGAGGAGAGACGAAACGTTTCATTAGAGAAGAACCCGTCCAGAAGACCTATACAATGTTTTTCTTTTTTATTTTTTACCTGGATTACTGAGATGCACAAAAGAAATAAGAACCTTCAAATGAAATATTAATGATAAATATCAGAACAACCCAACAAATGATGTATAAATAAATGTAATCCTAAAACCATTACACAAAAGTTTATATTAAAAGTGCATTTTGCACCTAAAAACACACGTATTTACAAAAACCTTTTTTTCTTTGCTATTGTGAACCTTTTGTAGCATTTTAGTTCATATCCAGCAGAGGGCGCAGTAGAGCCAGTAAAGGATGCAGCAAGCCCTTCTTCTGTGTTCAGGTGCAAATATTTACCTTCATCGTGTCTTTATCACAGGAGAGAGAAACTTTTAACTTTAATCTTAACAAAACACAAAGCACATTTTAATTAATTAAATAAAAAAAGCACAATATTATAAAAAGCAAACCTTAGTTTCTGTTTGTCACCACACCGTGACTGTTCTGCTCTGATGAAGCAACTTCTGCAGAGTTTTGAGAAGCTGCCTCATGGGGCATCTGAAAACAGGAAACATAAATCACCATGAGAAGACCTGAAAGGACCTACATGCACTTGGTGGCTGTGGATGAAGGAGGGGGGATATTGACCAGGACTGGGGGAGCCATGAAGAGGTAATTAAAGGGGTACTGCAGCAGGTTGATGCAGGTGGATGAGTACAGGTCTGCGTATCGAATGAGCTGGCTGGCGAACAGCGTCTGCGTGTAGCCACTGCGCAGGAGACTGCCCATCTGCCCATAGCAAATGTCCATTCTGTAGGTCAGGACCTGCAGAACAGCACAGAGTTCAGCTGCAAGGATCAACATTCAGAGTGTTACTCAACAAAAACCGTGCAAATACTGATAATGTCACAGAGAACTTATTGATTTCATCTGTCTTGCAAACAAGTCAGAGTTGCTTCAAATAAACTGGTTTTGGTGATTAATTAATAATAAATAAAATAGTAAATGCCATGATCTCCTCAGGAAAATTAAAACAATAAGCTGTCCCATTTACATGTCTTTTTTAAAAACAAACAAAATACACAGGAGAAGTGATGAAGCTGTGTTTTCATGCTTACAGTCATTCTTGTTTTGATGGCACTGATGTCCGGACACTCTTTGCTGCCACTGTCCAAATGCCTTTAATAAATAATAATAATAATTAGAATTAGAATAATAATCAGAAAAATAAGAAGAATTCTTTCAGTGGTGCAATTAGATAGAGAGGATTCTATCCATGAGAAAACGTATTTGCTTATTTTTATTCACAGAAAATAACATAAACAAAAAGTTATTTTAATTACTTAAATATTATAGCAATTAATTGCAGTTATTTATACATTTATTAGACATTTATTCCTCTGTTTGCGCAGAGTCATTTTAAGAGTAGAGCAGCAGCGCCCCCTGCTGGGCAGCAGGAAACACAGCACCTCTGATATCAAATTCTGGGCCACTGTATAGATAGATGTTAGAGCACATTCAGTGGAGCACAGGTTTGTTTATCATGTTTATTCAATCTGACATCTTTATTTTATGACTTTTTCAGTACCACTTTACAGCAAGACTCTCCTTATAGATGGCTTATAAATAGTTTATAGATAGGTTGTTAATTCATCTGTATCACCTTTTTTCTTTAATATTTATTATAAACAATGACACTTAGTTAGGTAAAGAAAAAGTGCAAACATATTAATCTTTTTGTTAGTTTGCTCAAAAATACATAAATATTCAATAATTAGGTATACTTACCACAGGGCTATTAATAAAGGCATCACATGGTAACAATAATTATTTTCTATAAACTCTTTACCACTTCTACAGTAGCTGATGAATCATTAGTTGTGAAGCTTCTGTTCACTGCTGATTTAAATCATTTATTTAACAATTGAAAAGCTGCTAAACAAACACAGATAAACAGACTTACTTGTAAAGTTCAGCTAAGAAGACGTCGAGACGTTTCAGCTCCTCAAAAACAGCTAAAATAACAAAAACCAGTCATCAGGCAATGAAGAGGTCAGGAAACAGAAAAGGGTTGATGAACAACATTAAGTCTGCTCACCTCTTTTTTCCTCCCACACCTGCAGCTCCTTGGTGAGCTCAGGTACGACCAGGAAAGTCTTCCAGCCTTGACGCTTCTTTGACTTGAGGATGTCTCCAAAGATGTGGTCTCCAACGTAGAGGATGTCTTTCCCACGGACATCCAGCAGGTCACAGATGATGTCTGAAGAGCCTGCAGAGGAAAATAAAACAGGCACGGTATTTTAAATGTACAATTATTAATTTATCAAAAAGAAATGAATGAAAAATTTAATATTTTATAATTAAATTCAAGGACATAATTGTATTTTGACGTCGTAATTTTTCAAATTTCTGACATTTAAATTCTCTGTTCTGGTATTTTACAAGGATCAATTTTATTTTTGAAGTATTCCAGCCTTCCTAGTTGATCATTTGGTGTATTTTTTTTACATGAGAAGCAACACCAGGATTTTGATGATCAAAATCCCTTAGTCAGACAATGCAAGACCAAGCCTTTATAAAATAAAAATGATCCACTAAACTCAGTGTTTCAGTAGAAAAATTGCTTTAACCAAGATTAAAATGTTCAGGATATGCAGAGCAACTTAAGTGGACATATAGTTATTTTAATCCAATCAGTTTATTTGAACAGAAACAATAAATGCATCTGAGTTTGACCTCACCTCCGGAGTAAACAGTCCCATGCTGCAGGTCTCCGGTGTACGTCCCGATGCGTAGCTTTCCTGTGTTCTGTGTCCAAAAATACATCAGAATGGCTTCAAAACGTACAGACAGCCCGTTTCTCAAAACCTCACCGGGGGGGGGGGATATTGTTCCTACCGTGTCCACTTGTCTCAGCACCGTCCCGTCAGCAAAAAACAGAGGCTTCCTGGTGTCCACAACAACAAGGTCAAAGAAGGAGCGCCAGGTCTTCCTGGGGTATCCGGCCTGCAGAGAAGGTTAACGTTAAATCGAAGGGACTTATTCGAACACGTCTCAACGAACCAACCTGTCTGACCTGTGTGTAACCTTCAAGCAGGTACTTCATGATCACCTGAGAGAAGACGAGGAGAGAAATTAGAAACAAACAGGGAGAAACTTCAGTCTGAGCTCAGTTAAAGCTGAAGAACTCACCTCTGTGTAGTTGTAGTCACTGTTAGTGGCAAGAAAAACCTTCGCCACCTCTTTGATTCTGGTCAGGAGCACAGGGATACCAGGCTGTGACAAACAAACAAAAAACATTAATTTTTTTATCTGTTCATTTAGGGATGCACCGGTATGAAAATTTGAGCCGATATCTATATCTAATTTAATCATTGCTGTTACAGCCAATAACCGATATTTACCGATATTACACAAACACACAAATTACATTACACACAGTAAAAATGGAGTGTTAAACTTTCAGTGTTAAACTTTTCGTAGTTAATTTGGTGTTAATTCACAGAATTAATTTCATCAGTGTTGTTTCAACTCTGGACAGTGTTAAATAAGCTCCATCCACTGTTAAATCTTGATTAACACTTAACAGTGTTGTTATTTAACACAATGCAGTGTTGAAAGAAGTATTCTGAAAAGCCCCGCCTTCTTCCTCAAGGACCTGAATTTTCTCAGCAAGGGATGCTGGGTAATCTTGTAGAAATTATGGGTTTGCTTGGTAAGACTGTTAAAAATGTTTATAAATGTAAAAATAGTTTTTCTGGTCAGTTTTCTTGTTCAATTTAGTTAGTTGTTAAGTTTAGGTTTTGTGTTATTGTCCACAGATCGACACGAGTGAGAGGCACTTCCTGGTGTGTGAAGGTTGACTCTGTTGCGCTGCTTTTCAATTGCATGACCAGTGTTAATACAACACTTCAAGAGTTGATTTTAACTCTAGGATAGAGTGCACAACTTTGTGTACTCTGACTCTCACTGTGTAAAAAGGAAAATAAAAATAACAACAGTATTACACAATAAAGTGTACTTTTAAAGTAAATTTAGTGTAAAATTAGCTCCAGAAAAATAGCAATATTACTCTGTAGAGTGTAAACAAACTATTGTGAAAATAATTTTACTCGTTACTTTGTTGATTTTGATACTAAAATGACTCAAATTAACTCTGAGAATTTAACACTGGCTGTAGAGTACATTTTACACTAATTTTGAGTGGGACCAAATATTATATGAAACAGAGTTAAATTCAACTCTATAGGTGTTAAAATGACACTTTGTTTTTATACGCACAAGCACAGATGGGTCTTTTTTTGATACCACAAATAAACAACCAGACCTCTGACATGGCTCCCTACTTCAGTTATCCCTGGCTGCACAGCATCATTATCACTATCATGATCAAACAGATGCTGCTCAACCAACCATCTCTCCTCCCAAAACAGAAACACTAAGCTAAAAAGTGGGAAATCAATATTGGACGTTAATATCGGTCCAGTTTTACATATCGGACCGATACCAATATTCTAAAAAATGACCAATATCAGCCGATACTGATATGAATGCCGATATAATGTGCATCCCTAATTTAACTCATTCTGAGATCTCAAACAGAGTACTCACATCTTTGATCACATATTTCTCCAGATTCTTGATAGTTTGATCTTTCAGGATTCCCTATAAAATATTTCATGATTTTAATATTTTTAACACAAATTATGACATTAAATTCAGACTGTGGTGTTAATGTAACTCACCTTGTCATGAACAAAGTCCATTGCTTTCCGGACATCCTGAAACATGCTTCTGTAGGACATGAACAGGTCTCCGTGCTGGAAACCTTCATCAAGGCTAGAGGTGGTTTTAACAGTAGAGGAGCAAAAGATTATATATATATATA